TTCTTCACACATCTTATGGGAATCGATCAAGGAAATGTACGGCAGTCAACACAATGCTGCTCGTGTGTTTGAACTGAAGAAAAGCCTCGCTGGGCTTAAGCAAGGTGATCAAACTTTCATTCAGCATCTTGGAAGCATGAAATCTATGTGGAATGAACTTGATCTATACCGTCCACACACCACTGAATCCGCTGTACTCTTGAAAAGGGCTGATGAAGATAAAGTGTTCCAACTATTGGCAAGTTTGGGAGTTGAGTATGAAGACTTGCGTAGCCACTTACTAATGAATCCTAAGCTACCATCTTTCGTCAACGTGTGTCATGCAGTCCAAAGAGAAGAAACTCGAAGGAAAGTAATGCATGTTGAGCCCCGGTCTAGCCCAAAAGCTAGGGTTTTCACTAGTAACCACAACTTCACTAGTGAAAGGCCTTTTAATGGAAGGAAAGCTGACTGGAAATGCACATACTGCAACACCAAGGGGCACGTACGGGAAAAATGCTGGATTTTACATCCTGAGTTAAAACCTAAGTTTAACAAGGAAGGAAAAATGATTAGGGATGGGAAAGGGTTTGCGCCTAAAGCCTTCCAATCTCTGAGTTGTCCATCTAATGAGATGTCAAACTTCACCTCAAACCCTATCTCCCTGATCAATGAGTTTGCCGCCTTTCTCCAAAAGAAGAGTGATATCGCTGAGGGTAACAATGTCACCACGGAAAATCCCACAGAAATGCTTGGAAAATTTGCTGGTTTTTTGGCAAATTCAAACACCACTAAATTCGGCAATATCCCAGGTATCATTTGTGCACTTTCCACGGCTCTCAATGTATATCTCACACACGATTTTTAGATTATAGACTCAGGTGCCACTGACCATATAACCAACAAACAAGCTTGTCTACATGAGTTTCAAAAATTACCTAATCATACTCATGTGTCTGTAGCGAATGGGAAAGGGGAACCAGTTCTAGGAAAAGGAAAAATTAAATTGATGGGGAGTGATGTAGAGTCTACGGCACTATATGTACCCTCATTTCCATTTCAACTTCTGTCCATAGGAAAAATCACACATACTTTGAACTGTCTTGCTATTTTTTCTCCTCACACAGTTGTATTTCAGGATCGAGTCACTCAGAAGAAGATTGGTGAGGGTTTTTTCTTAAATGGTCTGTACTACCTCTCAAAGGAGTTCAATCAAGTTAAGGAACCCATTGTCAACCTAAGCCATGTCCAGAAGCATCAACTTTGGCACCAACGCCTAGCTCATCCCTCCGAACCAGTAATGTCTAAATTATTTTCCAAATTATTGTACCAACACACATGAGTGTGAGATCTGTCAAATGTCAAAAGCCACTAGGCTACCTTTTGTACCCTCTAAATCTAGAACTAGTAAACCCCTTGAAGTTGTACACTCAGATATTTGGGGACCTTCCCGTGTTGAGTCATTTGATAGGTACAAGTATTTTGTTACATTCATAGATGACTACTCTAGGGTTACTTGGTTATATCTCTTAAAGTCTAAAAGTGAATTTTTTTTACAGCTTTTCAAGACTTTCATAAGCTAATAACCAACCACTTCTCCTCAAAAATATGTACCTTACGGTCAGATAATGGCACCGAGTATACCTCCAATAATCTGTCAAACTACTTAAGCAGTCATGGTATCTTGCATCAAACTAGTTGTGTAGGTACACCACAACAAAATGGTGTGGCCGAACGCAAGAATAAGGATTTATTGGAGAAAACTAGGTCTCTTATGTTTCAGATGCAAGTTCCCAAGAGATTCTGGTCCCAAGCACTCCTTACTGCAGCCTATATCATTAACAGACTTCCCACTCGTGTCCTGAATTCCAAATCACCTTTTGAAGTTATGAAGGGAAGAACTGCTGATTTAACTCATTTCAGGATTTTTGGGTGCACGTGTTATGTTCACGTTCAAGCAAATCATCGTGATAAACTCGAACCTCGAGTTATCAAGTGTGTGTTTATGGGGTACTCGAGTTCTCAAAAGGGATACAAATGTTATAACCCACACACTGGGAAGCTGGTTGTCTCTAGGGATGTACGGTTTGATGAACACGTTCATTTCTTCAACAATCACTCCCCAAATAGTTCTCAGGGGGAGAGTCTAATGGATATTTTTCCACTACCAACTCTCGCTGAAATCCATACAGACACCCCCCCAGTGATCCTCCAGTTGATGAGATGGTCAGTGAAGATATACCTCGTGCCCCAGCACCAGTTGTTGCCACACAACCAATTGTAGCAACACAAAAAAGGAATCCAACTCGCGATCGCAACCCTCATCGACGGCTACAAGAGTACATCACTTACAGTGCAAGGCATCCCATTTCTGAAGCTCTCACTTATCACAAACTGTCAGCATCTCATGCATCATTCCTAAGTCAGTTGGCAAACAATGTTGAGCCTAAAAACTTTCAAGAAGCAGTATGTATACCTGTGTGGAGAGATGCCATGCATGATAAGCTCAAAGCACTGAACGAAAATCAAACCTGGAGTGTAGTAGATCTTCCCAAAGGGAAGAAAGCCGTAGGGAGTAGATGGATTTACAAGACCAAATTCAATTCTAATGGTACCATTGAAAGACACAAGGCCCGGTTGGTTGCACGGGGTTTCACTCAAACTTACGGCATTGACTACAAGGAGACCTTTGCTCCCGTTGCCAAAATGAACACAGTGAGGGTGTTGTTATCAGTAGCAGTCAACCACGACTGGCCCTTGTTTCAAATGGATGTTAAAAACGCATTTCTTCACGGTGAGCTTCAAGAAGAGGTGTACATGAAGCTACCTCCAGGACACCCTCAAGAAAAAGAACCTACCAAAGTCTGCAAGCTTCATAAAGCTATATATGGACTTAAACAGTCTCCTCGAGCTTGGTATGCCAAACTAAGCTCTGTTCTTGAAGTGGCAGGGTTCAAAAGGAGTCATGATGACTCATCTCTCTTTGTTCGAAGTGGTGTCCAAGGGAAGCTTGTAGTTCTTATATGTTGACGACCTTATCATCACGGGGGACAACATGGATGAACTCGAGGCTCTTAAAAGGTCGCTTCACCAACAGTTTGCCATTAAAGATTTGGGATCCTTGAAATATTTTCTGGGTATTGAGATGGCTACCTCATCCAAGGGTTTATTCTTAAATCAAAGGAAGTATGTTCTTGACCTTCTTGATGAAGCACATATGGTCAACTGCAAACCTGCCCGCACCCCACTTGCTAGCAAACTTCAACTGGATGCTCCAGGTACCCTTCTTTCAAATCCTAATGTGTATCAACGCATGGTTGGGAAACTCATTTACCTCACTATCACACGGCCTGATATTGCTTACTCCGTAAGCCTTATCAGTCAGTTTATGCATTCTCCTACATTGGTTCATTGGGAAATTGTCAAGAGAATACTTCGATACCTCAAGGGCTCGATCGGCAGAGGCATACTCATGCAGAAAAATGAGTCTAATCACATTCTGGCCTATACCGATGCGGATTGGGCTGGTAATTCCCTTGATCGAAAATCCACCACAGGTTTTTGTACCTTTGTAGGTGGAAACCTTGTCACCTGGAAAAGTAAAAAACAAACAGTGGTTGCACGGTCCAGTGCTGAAGCTGAATATCGGGCCATGGTAGCAACAGCTTCTGAACTCATCTGGTTGAAGAGTCTCCTTCTTGATCTTGGCTTCACCAGTAAGGAACCCATGTCCTTATTCTGTGACAACCAGGCTGCCATGCATATTGCATCCAATCCTGTATTCCATGAACGGACTAAACACATTGAAGTTGACTGCCACTACATCCGCACTCAAGTTCAATCCAAAGTCATCGAAACTGTGTACACTAGAAGTCATGATCAACTTGCGGACCTTTTCACGAAAGCTCTTGATTTTACACAGTTTCAACGGTTATTGTTCAAGCTTGGATCAATCAACCCCCTTAATCCCGCTTGAGGGGGAGTATTGACAGCTAGGACAGTATGGGAGAGAGGGAATATGATATTGACAACTAGGACAGTATGGGAGAGAGGAAATATGACAGTATGGAGAGAGGGAATATTGCTCGTGAAAAGGAATGTTGTATATTCCTTGACAGATAGACAATGCTGTATGGGAGAAAGGAATGCTGCTTATTTTTTCTCTAGTTGCTGCATCATGACAGCAAGCACAACACCTGTATTGCTTTTCTTTATTGCATGCGTGTATGTAAAATGCATATAAACAATGCTGCCGTTGCAGCAGAATGAATAAGAAAGAAACAACAAAGTTGAAACCAAAACATCAATATTTTCCTTCTGCTCTTCTTTTCCCTTCTGCTCTCTGCACTTCCTCTTCTTCTATCCGTCTCTCCCTCTTTCCTCTTCTTTCGTTTTTGTTCTTCTCCTCTGCTCTGTCCGTTTCCTCTCTTCTTTATATTTTTTTCTTCTTTCTTCTTTTCTTCTTTCTGTCCTTTTCTTCTTTTCCTTTCTTTGTTTTGTTTTCTTTCTTTTCTTATGTAACCCCCCCTTTTCTTCTACAAACATCATTATGAATCATGATGATGTTTCAAACATCATCATGACTCATCATTATCTTTTTTTTTAATTTAATTTAAAAGCTGATCTACACAGAGACGAATTTATTACATAAAATTTCACTTGTTCTATTTTTATTTTCTTTGCTAGACAAATCCTATAATACGCAAAAACAAAGTAATAGCTCAAAAATATAAGGAACTAACTAATAAAAGACAAATGAAATTGATGTAAAATATATATAAATATGAACTTATCACTTAGCTTGAAAAATCACAAAATTCAGTGAATAAAAATACAGATTGTTTATTTTGTCCAAATGAAGATGGAAGAGAAAAAGAAACAGACTAGTATAACAAATATTTACGGACCATGCATCGATTATTAATTACACCTATACGTCAATTGATAATTATAATTTTTGTTTTTAAATGTTATTATCTCTTAAATAAATAACCATGTTGTTTTTATCTCCTCATCCTATGTTACGTGTCGAATTCGTGTGAAGTCTGGCGGGACAAGAGATGACTTTGATCACCATGAGCTCCTTTCCATAGCCATTTTTCTTTACCTTGAGCCCCTTACACAAAGTCCGTTCTTAAGATCTGGAGTTTTCTCTCAATGGCTGCTAAAAGTTCCCGAGATTCTTCTTCGTCCTCTTACCGGTGTTCCGCCTTCTTGAGTTTCAGAGGCAAGGACACGCGCAAGGGGTTTACTGATCACCTCTATAGAGCCTTGGAGCTAGCAGGAATCCACACGTTTAGAGACGATGATGAAATCAAGAGAGGGGAGAATATTGAGTCGGAGTTAGAGAAGGCGATACAGGAGTCACAAGTATCCATAATTGTCTTCTCCAAGGACTACGCTTCCTCAAGGTGGTGTTTGAACGAACTTCTGAAGATCGTCGAACGTAGAAATACTGATCGTAGACATTTGGTTCTGCCAGTTTTCTATGATGTGGATCCATCCGATGTCAGGAAGCAGAGTGGTTCTTTTGCTGAAGCATTTGCCAGACATGAGGAGCGATTCAGTACGGAGATGGACAAGGTGGAGCTGTGGAGAAGAGCTCTTGGAGATGTTGCATCTTTGGGAGGCATGGTTTTAGGAGATCGGTAATTTCTTTTCTCAATATGTTCTTGAGCTTATTGAAAGTGTTTTAAATTAAGTAAAATTGCAGATATGGCAGTGAAGCTTGAAGTTGTTCAATTTTGGTTTATATGCTATAATATATACTGCGATTTTGGTTTATATGTTACTATCGATTTTGGTTTATATGTTCTCACGCTTATTTCTGCGTCGTATATTTCGATTCAAATGAATTACAGGTATGAGGGGCAGTTCATCGAAGATATTGTTGAAGAGATTAGAAATAAAGTGGGTCACGCAGCTTTAGACGTCGCTCCCTTTGCAGTTGGAATGGATAATCGTGTGAGACGCCTAAACATGTGGTTACAAGATGGATCAAATGATGTTGGTTTAGCTGTCATCTGTGGGATGGGTGGAATTGGCAAGAGCACCATTGCGAAAGCTGCTTATAATCAAAACTTTGATAGATTTGAAGGTAGCAGCTTTCTTGCAGATATTCGAGAATCTTCAGAACAACCTAATGGTTTTGCTTGCTTGCAAAGAAAACTTCTTTCAGATATCCAAAAGGGGAACACAAAGAAAGTATACAATGTGGCTGAAGGAATAAGCAGGATCAAACGAGCTGTAGGCTACAAAAAAGTTCTTATTGTTCTCGATGATGTGAACAGCCGGGATCAACTCAATGCAATTCTTGGAATGCGAGAATGGCTTCATCAAGGAAGTAAAATTATCATAACAACTCGACATGAACATTTGTTAAATGCTCATGAAGTTTGTGAAAAGTTTATGGTTCGAGAACTGGATGAGTATGAATCACTTGAGCTTTTCAGTTGGCATGCCTTCAGACAATCCCATCCAGTAGAAGGTTACATGGAGCTTTCAAGACATGTGGTGCGGCACTGTGGAGGGCTTCCATTAGCTCTTCAAGTTGTGGGATCTTCTCTATCTGGAAAAAGTGAAGAAGTATGGCAAAGTGCATTGCAGAAGTTAGACGTGATCCCCAATGACAAAATTCAAAAAGTTCTGAGGATAAGTTTTGATTCTTTACCGGATGATCATGACAAAAATTTATTCCTTCACATAGCCAGCTTCTTCACAGGAAAGACGATGGATTATACAATTACAATACTGGACAACTTAGAGTTTTGCACAAGGATTGGGATTGAAAATCTAGTTGACAGATGCCTAGTGAAAATTCAAGGGTCGAAGTTGGCCATGCATCAGTTGGTGAGAAACATGGCAATGACAATTATTCGCGAAGAATCACCTCATGACCCTGGAAAACGTAGTAGAGTGTTGCAGAATGATGCCTCTAATATTTTGAGAAAATTAAGTGTAAGAACTATGTTTTTCATGCGTATGTTTTTAGTTATGATTTGCATGTGTAGTACTAGTTATATACTTACCCAAATGCTCTGATTTTTTTGCAGGGCACGGAAAATATTAAGGGCCTCATGCTCAACCTTGCTAGCAAAAGAACATTTGTTGGAAGTGATAACAAACGATGCCATGTTGAAGATTATGATGGAAATTGTTCAAGACGACGTGGGCTTGGTTTCTTCTCTTGGAAGCCAATTAGCTTTTCCTCCACAAACTCAGCTTCTGCATCAAATGAGATAGATTTCAAATCTGAGGCGTTTAGAAGGATGCACAATCTTGAAATTCTCATTCTCAACAATGTCAACATCAGGGGAAGCTATGAAGAATTTTCAAAAAATTTAGTATGTTTATCTTGGCGAGGATTCCACTTAAAATCAATACCAAAAAATTTTTGTTTGGAAAACCTGGTTGTTCTAGACATGCGAAATAGTAGCCTACAACATGTTTGGAATGGGACCAGGGTATGTAACTCTCTCTCTCTCTCTCTCTCTCTCTCTCTCTCTCTCACACACAAAAATGAATAGGGGCCATTATATCTTCTTAGAAGCTAATTAACTTGTATTATTATTGAAACAGGTTATTCCAAGGCTGAAGATTCTTAATTTCAGTTATTCGCATGGCCTTAGGACAATCCCCGACTTCTCAGGACTCTATAACCTTGAGAGGTTGATTCTTAAACATTGCATAAATTTGGTTGAGGTTCATGAGTCCATCGGACACCTAGAAAAACTTCTTGTTTTGAATCTAAAAGGCTGCAAAAATCTCATGAAGCTTCCAATATTGAGATCTATTCAGGTTCTTATTCTTTCCGGTTGCTCAAAGCTTGAATTGAACAAACTCAATCTGGTATCAGCTCAATCATGGTATTCAGTCTGGTCGAGGGTGTCGCCAAGAAAAAATACTGAATTAAGCAGTTTCTCATTGGCAAGTTTACCACATTCTTTGACTAGTTTAAGTCTGGCTTGCTGCAATATATCAGAGATTCCAAGTGCCCTAACTACGCTGTCCTCGTTAGAGTACTTGTCTCTGGATGAGAATCCGATTACAAGCCTACCAGAAAGCATGAACAATCTTGTTAAGCTCCAGGCTCTTAAAGTATCTGGTTGCAGAAACCTCACAATGCTTCCAGAGCTCCCACATGGTTTGATACAATTGAATGGTAGAGGTTGCACATCATTGAAAAGAATAACAAATTTAATGACCTTGGCCTTGTTACGGGATGACTTCCTTTCTGACATATTATTGGACCTACATCTATGGTATCGTGGGAAACTTGTTGATGTTGAAAGCTTGATGGATACACTAGCATTGGCCTCAGATCCTTCAGATCTATTCGATTTGCAACCCAAAGGTGGCATTGAGGTCCAAAGGAACTATTGTGAGAGTTTTGGCAGGAGAAGGCACATCCAGGTTCTCTCTCTCTCTCTCTCTCTCTCTCTCTCTCTCTCTCTCATGTACCAGTGCGTATTATATGGTGAATAAGATCTCTATGGCGTAAACGATTAGATTGTAATGACAACATCACCATGAAACTGCAGGGAACTTATGAATGCGGCATGTATAGCATATTTATTCATGGGAGCAAGATTCCAGATCGGTTCAATTACAGGAGCATGGGTAACACTGTGTTCTCTATTATTGTTCCTCCACATCTTAATCTCAAGATCGTAGGTTTAAACGCATGTATATTATATGCACGGCAGTCGGATAGGAGCCGTGAGGTTGCACGTGGCCGTCATTTCCATTGGCTTGAACTTAGAAATGAGACAAAGGGCGTTAAGTGGAAATGCCGTTTGTTTGATCAGGTTGAATGGAAAGTGATCAATGAAGATGCGTTATGGCTTAGCCATTGGATCATGGGGAACAATGAATTGGAATGCGGGGAAAAGGTGTGTTTTGAAATCAAAGAGCAATATGGTTTCCTCGCAAAGGAGATTGGAGTCCAGTTTGTGTACGAGCAGCAAAATAAGGATAAGGAGGATGTGCCATCAAGTAGTGAAGATACAACGATCCAACGTGAAAGATCTCCTTGGGAGTGGACCCGTAGTTTCCTTGACACCACAAGACCCCGTGTTCCGGTGGGTGTAGATACGGGGGTTCAATGCATCCATAGCTGCGATAAGAAAGTTATTTCAACTTTCATATGCGCGGCTGAATTCTATCTCGGTGACACTCTTAATGGAGCTGTTATTGGATAGTCTCCTAGGTTTTAAGACCTTTAGCCAAAATTGTCGCTGGGGTTGGCCTTTTTAGCCAAAATAACCCAGTTTAATTGATGTTGCTGATGCATATTTGTTCATGGGAGCAAGATTCCAGATCGGTTCAATTACAGGAGCATGGGTAACACTGTGTTCTGTATTATTGTTCCTTCACATCTAAATCTCAAGATCGTAGGTTTAAATGCTTGTATATTATATGCACGGCAGTCGGATCGGAGCCTTGAGGTTGCACGTGGCCATGATGTCCATTCGCTTGAAGTCACGAATGAGACAAAGGGCCTTAAGTGGAAATGCCGCCTGTGGCATAAGGTTGGATGGAAAGTGATGGACGAAGATATGTTATGGCTAAGCCATTGGATTATGGGGAACAATGAATTGGAATTCGGGGACGAAGTGTGTTTTGAAATGCGGGGATCATCCACACAGCGACGAACTCCGATCATTCTCACCGATCTCCATCTCCTTCCAAAGCCAAAACCCTTTTAAGAAAAAGAGGGTAATGAATATGATAAAGCCAGTAATGAATGGAATAACCCAATTTCTATCGCCAATCACCCTTGCTGAGTGATGATTCACACACTTCCTCGTACTTGTTTATGGGTTCCTATCCAACCAAATTTTGACTTAGTACCCAAAAACTGTATCAGCTCACGAACACACACAGGTTTATCAAATTCAAAGCAGAACCCACATATATTCTGAAGGTTCTAGAGTTGAAAGAGGAGCAAGGAGGTTTGGTTACGGAATCCAAAAAGCCATTTTAATGAGCAATAAAAAACATGGTTTTCGATCGAAGTTGCATATATTACATAACTTTGGAATTAAGGAGGAACAAAAAGCCCAAATTCCAATCAAGAAAAAAAAATTGTATATAAATTTAAGCTTTACCTGTAGATTGGCAGCAGCAAAAGCACACTGGATCCAACGGGAGCCACGTGAGAGAACCGGATGCCGAACCTTTGACACGTTATCGAGTGAGTTTAGGGATCTGGGTTTTGTGTTTGCCGTTGAATTTTGGAATGATCTGGAGAAATTTGGGTTTTAGGGTTCTAAGGATTTGAGTGAACCGAAATTGATTTGGATGAGCAACTTTTTGGTTTCGATTCGCGGTAGAGCAAGGATGAAGAGGTGGAGGAGGGGGGAATGAAAGGGTGACAAAATTTGGATACGCAGGATTTGGTTTCGATTCGAAGTAGAGCAAGAATGAAGCTCTTTGAATTCTTTGCACCGCTCTATGAATAGTATGACATGTGAGTGATTGATTGTGTAACAAAAATTAGTAAAAGAGAGTGTATGAGTATTATATACGAAACTATATCACTGGAACCACTTTATGGAAAGTTGCAGTACTATGGTATACTCACTTTGTCCTTTGGATGATTAAACTTGCACCTCATACAAATTTGCATCTTTGAGTATTCATAAAGTACTGCAACATGCAAATGGATCAATTAACAGTTCAAGTGCTTAAATGCATTATTTCTGCAAAAAGAAGAAAGAATTGAAGTACTACTTACAGGACAATCTGGTGCTCCAAGTCTCTCGAGAAGGACTTCAGTTAAGCAAGGCCAAAGCACAAATTCAATGGAAAGAACCAATGCAATTTACTTGTGATGTTAAGTTGAACATGCGATGCCCTGGAGAAATTATTGAGTGTCAAATGATAAAGCAATCAGATTATAGTAAATTACTAAATGGTATTTACAAAAATAAAAAACATAAAGTTAAGAGAACAATGAAAAACTTAAGAATTAGCCTTAGCAAAGTTAAGGGAACTTAATGCTAAAAACAAAAAGCTAGCACTTCCTCAGCCGCATTACCTAGACGCTCTGCTAAAGGTACGGTGCCCACTAAGCTGAAGAAGAAGACCCATCCCTAATGTATACAAAGTAACTGTCAATGGATTAGGGGTGAAATCAATCTAAATTATTGAAAGGATGTGTGAAAAAGAAACCATGTTGGACACATTCTTACACAGAACAAGAAAAAAACTTAAAAACATACACTTAAAAAATAAAAACATAAACATGTATGAATATTAAGTGAACCCAAAGCAGAACAAACCCCTAAAAGTGCTTAAGTTCATGTGGGTTTTATAGTATTTTATCAATAATATCAGATTAACAAAACCCTTAATGCAAATCCAATCCGATATTGAAAACAGATGAATATAAGAGAGAAGTAAAAAACACTTTTATTGGGCCTCATATTTACTGCACCACAGAATCCACTATTCTCCATAGCAAAAGGAAAATACCATATTCTCAGCTTCAATTTCTTGGAAATTAAATAAGGCATCCACCAGCATTCCCGCATAGAAATCACATAAATTGTATGACCGATTCACGAAATTTTGATTCAATCTAACTATCAATCTATATGTGTGAAATGACCGATTTGTATATGTACATTATTCATTTAACCAAATCTAAATGGTTGTATTGTATATATGGCAGTTAACACACGTCTATGAAAGTGAATGTGCAAACATACATAAATGAATACATTTGAACATTTGAGTAGGAGGGAATGTTTATAATTTGATGCATATAAACGTATGTACCAAGTAACAAACCAATCCATAGTTTCCCTCTTCAAATAACAAAATCCACAGAAACCCAACGTTGAAAATTCATGGACACTCAAAAGAACTGTAAACGAAACCGAGAAGCCCAAATCTCACTAAAGAAAAAGGAAAGATTCCAAGATTACACAAAACCCAAAATAACACAAACAAATCTCAAAGCATTTCTCAAAAGGACATATTACAATCAAAGAAAGTGAAAACCCTAATAAATTACCTTAGAGAGAATAAATTACCTAGCAGAGAAGCCCATTTTTTGGGAGCAGTTTAGCCACATGCCTGTACCAACATTGAAAACAAACAAAAAGTTCATAAAAAATGAAGAAAAATCGAAAGAAAACGAAACAGAAAGCAGCATACCTGTACTCGTAGATATCATCAAAGTACTTCTCGGAGTACTGGATCTGACCCTGCTATTTAATCCCAAACCACGATTTCAAGCAAAATCTTGAACAAGGATTTTCAAATTTCTCAGTTTAATCTGCGAAATAAAGACTGTTTTCAAGAAATTGAACATATTATATGTGCACTGCACACACTTGCGAGCCGGCTTACTTAACTAATATTTTTCTAGGTCAAATTTTAATTATTTGATTCCTTGTATCGATAATATTAGATGTAAATACATGCATGTTTATGGAATTCGAAGAGAAAAACCATATACCTCAGTTTTTTCAGATGATCAGTCACCCTCCCCCGAGTCCCTTGAACGTTAACATTCTCATGAGCTTGCTTGTTCCATGTCGTGCCTTGCTCCCATTCGGATCCTTCTCTTTCTCCTACTTGAAGAGACTGATTCAAGCAAAATCAAACATTCAGACAACACATCTCTCACTTGATTGATTGGTACCAAACGAAGGCCATTGATACTTATTTGTAATTTAATTAATAAAAAAAAAATTAAACGCTTCATAAAATTATACAAAAAATTCCAGAAATTTAACGAAAATAGAGAAAGAGGTTGTACAAAACCTACACAAAAATTACTAAATTCCAGATAAAATCATACAAAAAAACCGAGAAATTTAACGAAAATAGAGAATGAGGAAAAACCAAATATTTCAGCCCAAATCCTTGAAGTTCTCGAGGACTTTGGACTTTGCCGGGTTGGAGAGATAGTTTCTCGGATCAGAAAGTAGGTGGGGTGGCCGGCCTTGGCGCTGGCCTCGACGATAAACTTTCCGGTGCTGCCGATGAAGAGGATTTTGGGCTTGGTTGCCATCAGGAATGGGATTGGGGGGAATCAGAATGGGATGTGTTGGAGAGAGAGAGAGAGATAGAGCTAGTGATTCGATTCAGAGTGGTGCATGAAAGAAGAGGTGGAGAGTCGGTGAGGAGGAGATTGAGCTCCTTTTGCAGTCGGCAATCCCAGAGGAAATCGAAATAAGCACGCGGGAATGTGAGAGTTCGAGAGATATCCACCATCAATGTGGATAACATAGGCACACATGAAATAACAAAAAATAAGAGAGGGCAAAAACGGAAGAACAAAACAGTGTTTTGAGTCTGCTAGGAATCATGGGAATTAACCTAAAAGTTACTCTTTTAGTAAATACTAGCAAAGGTGCCCACGCGTTGCTTTGGGATTGAAAATTGTTTAACACATGTAGAAGTTCTAAAAAAAAAGAAAAAATAATTAATATATATATATAGATATATAGTGCAAATTTATATACTACTCTATCAACAATAAGAAACAAAATAGGTGTCCAGGGCGAGAATGAAGCCTATAGTTATAAATTGTCAAATTCCATACATGTCAAACTTCATTTAGGAAACTGAAAACCATAAAGAATAAAGTGATAAACACACAAAGACAATTCACAATACGAAACCGTCGCTTCACTAAATAAGCAGCACCAACAAAATAATGCTTTTTTTTGCTGCAAAATATTAGAAAAAGGGAAGCAAAATATTTATTTCTATTTTATATTATGTGAAGAAAAAAAACTTGGAAGAAGAAGCAATAGTGAAAAGATCATATTTATTTCAATTTTTAGGCTGAGAAAAATAAAACAAAATACCCATTTCAATAAAAGAAAATTAATGAAAAGGGCTTGAAAAGTTTTAGTTTTAATAAAAAAGCCATGTTATAAGCTAAACGGAAGGGAAGGCCGGATTTCGGCCGGAAAGTTGGACAAATTTTAAACGCTCATAACTTTGTCAATATTCAACAAAATCGAGTGATTCAAAAACGAAAATGGTAGTTCTCGAAGAGACGAAGAGAATGGTACCTCGCACGATGGCTAACTTGCCATGGTTTGGCCATAAAACACCTTGAAAGCTTCGAAGGTCGCCGGAAACTGGGTAAGATTCAAAATGATATAACTTTGTCAATACTCAACGAAATTGAGTGATTCAAAAACGAAAATCATAGTTCTCGAAGAGACGAAGAGAATGGTATCTTGTACGATGGCTAACTCGCCGTGGTTTAGCCGGAAAACGTCTCAAAAGCCTCAAAGATCGTCGGAAACTGGGTAAGATTCAAATGGATATAACTTCTTCAATACTCAACGAAATAGGGTGATTCAAAAGGGAAAGTTGTAGTACTGTTTCTGGAATGTAAAAATAAACTGTTTCTGGATTTTAAGTAACACTGTTTCTGGAATTTAAGTCAATGTTTATGAAATTTAAGTTAATGTTTCTGGAATTTAAGTCACTGTTTATGGAATTTAAATCACTATTTCTGGAATTTAAGTCACTGTTTATGAAATTTAAATTACTGTTTATAGAATTTAAGTCACTGTTTCTGGAATGTAAAAATAAACTGTTTCTGGATTTTAAGTAATACTGTTTCTGGAATCTAAGTCACTGTTTCTAGAAAGTCACTATTTCTGGATTTTGGTTCTTTTCTTTCCAGATACAGTGTTTGTTTGTGCACGGGCCAAAGGGTTTGGTGTGGTTGCTGCTCGCCAAAGCTAAACGGAAGGGAAGGCCAGATTTCGGCTGGAAAATTGGACAAACTTTAAACGCTCATAACTTTGTCAATACTCAACGAACTCGAGTGATTTAAAAACGAAAATCGTAGTTCTCGAAGAGACGAAGAGAATGGTACCTCGCACAATGGCTAACTCACCATGGTTTGGCCGGAAAACATCTCTAAAGCCTCGGAGGTCGCCGGAAACTGGGTAAGATTCAAAATGATATAACTTCTTCAATACTTAACGAAATCGAGTGATTCAAAAACGAAAATCGTAGTTCTCGAAGAGACGAAGAGAATGGTACCTTGCACGATGGCTAACTCACCATGGTTTGGCCGGAAAATGCCTCGAAAGCCTTGGAGGTCGCCGGAAACTAGGTAAGATTCAAATCGATATAACTTCCTCAATACTCAACGAAATATGGTGATTCAAAAAGGAAAGTTGTAGTACTCAACGAAATGAAGAGGAGGAGGAGGAGGAGGAGGATGAGGGCCAAAGGAGAGCCCATAAGTGACTGGCTGGTGGTCGAGCTGTCTGTTGGTTTGGTGGGTTTTACTTTGTTCTATGATGGTTTTTGGTTAAAATAAACTTAGTTCAAGCCCTTTTTATTAAAGCTCCCTTTCAATAAACAACCTAAAACCCATTTCACGTTTGTGGGTTTTCAATATTGCACAATTATATATGGGAAACAAATGGCTGTTAAAAGATTCGAAAAAAAATTTCTACTCGTTTTCGTACAGTTTCTCTAGAGCCAAACAGAAACCAACAATGAAGACACATTCTGAGAAAGTATTGATGAAAACACAATGTACACATAACTCTCTAAACCTTTCCTCCTTTTGCTTAGCTTGCAATTAGAATAGATTATGACTCAGGCATAAACTCAGAAATCAGTAAAGAATGAAACCCAAAAGTAAATTGCAGTTTCTTATTATCATTTCTCTTAGAAAAGACTAACAAAATTGTTTCTTAAAAATTAAAATAACAATATGTATATAAGCAGGATTGTGCTTAATTTTCTCTAATTAAAGAAATGGTTTGCGCAATTTAGAACCTAATATAACAAAAGCATAACAAACAAAAAATTCCAGAGCCTTAAGTGCCTTTTGGAAGTTCAGTCCTATTTCGAAAATCTACAAAAGGAACAATTGTGAACCCAAATTAAAGCTTCTCTCACTCAAAAGAAAAATAGAAACTCTCAATAACTACGTCTCGATCCCCACAGTTACTCGCATTTGGAGATAATACATCCTCATTTATTGGATCCTCATTTCCTAATTCTTGATCTCGATTGGCTAAAGATGCCACATCCATTGTGGTACCATTGCTTTCCAAATTAACTAGTCCACTTAATTGCTTCTGTACAAAGACTGCTAAAGAAACAGCATGATCACGAATCAAAGAATCATGAGGCGGGCAATACAACATATCAATCAAGGCCTTGTGGTACTGCAACAGGCTGATAGATGGTGTAGACGACCTTTTCCGGCAGATATTAATAACTTTGAGTATATGTGCACACAGGTTGCCCATTTCTGCCCAACGACAGTTGCAAATACCGAACTGCGAATCAGGGTTCCAAACAACATAAGCCCTGTCTTGGTCGAACTCGTCAATAACTTTTGCACGTCACCTTCTATGACAATATTGCAGTCAGGAATCTTCAAAACTTTACGCCAAGATGTTAAACCACTCGCCCACTCATCTTTCCAATATCGTGCCAAATCATCATTCTCAGAATATTCATCAAGCCAGAAGTAGGAATGCACTTTTGTACCCAACTTATCAACCAACCAATCAGCTCATTTGTACACGCTAGGTTTCTTCTTGTTCAATAACCTAAGCTTTAGTTGGTTGTGGTAGAACTCCATTGCCACAGAGGTTTCCTGGTTAGCAAGAGGATGATTTTGTAGTACAGAGATCCACATCCCTAAGTCAAAAGACATTTTTCTGGTATGAGTTATTCAAGAAAAAGTGTCACGCCCCAATCCCAACCTACGTCCAGGATCGATACATGACGTCATCAAATACTCTTACATCTAACATACCCCGCCTCCAGGACATGAAAAGCATGATATCACAAGTATGTTTTATGAACCCTTTGAGATAACATGCTTACTGAGGCTAGTTTGAATTACTACTACTTTTCCTATAACCCGTGTTCTTATACAATATATGATGGATGACGATATGATATTTAGAACCAAGGTTCTAAAAAACGCTAGGCGCTAGTCGGGCGGTGGGCTAGCGCCTAGGCGGCCTAGGCGGATTTAGGTAAATTTCTTGTTTATCTTCTAAATAAGTGCATATTGACACTTATAAAAAATTATACTTTTATGAAATTCATTGATAAGATAATAAAAGAATGATAAAATACAAAAAAAAATCAAACAAGTCCAAAATTTAAAAACACATTAAGCATATATACCATATAATCTAAGATATTTTGAATGATTATATCTAATTTTAAAATAAATAAAAGTAAAAATCCCACGTAGTGGGTTGGGTGATTCATAATGAAGAGAAAATTATGATATCAATATGGATGGTTCATAATGATTTACAAAATATTTTTTTAGAGATTAATATGTTGAATTTAAAGCGAAATAATAGTGTCAAATATCTAGATGTGGAAAGGGCACACTAGGACTCATAAAGATAGGACTCTGCCATGACATTATCGGCTGACAGCCCATCACTTTTTATGAGAAAGATAACTAAGTGACTGACAGCCTATGAGACTATTTACAAAAAGCAAGCCATTTGATGTTAGCTGTCCAATTGTGATTGGAGAGAAACTAAGGAAAAAAAAATTAAATAAGACAAGTATGTAAAGTGGTCACGTGGTATGAAAAAAAAAGAGAGAGAAAGTCATCATCTTCGTGTTCATCTTCTCCTCTTCACCAAACCAAGAACCTGAAGAAACCCAGAAATGCTTGAATGCAGCTGATCTTACAGAACTGAAATTCTTGGACCGCCTAGGCCATTCAGTCGCCCGCCTAGGCCGCCCAAGGACCGCCCAGGCCGTCTCAGCGGCCGCCTAATCCCTGTCCCGATTTTGAGTTAATCCCCGCGGCCGGCCACCGCCCAGCGCCTAGGCGCCGCCTAGGCCGATTTTTAGAACACTGTTTAGAACATGTTTCGAACACCTCTTTATAGTATAGATGATGGATGACTTTATACTATGAAGTTGCTTTTCAATATATATGTGTTCAATGGTTATGTACTTACCTAGTGGTCCTTATTCCGCTACGGGACGTAGGGATAGATTCCGGTCCTTCCCGGGCGACGGTTTGATTTTGGCATAGGGCCTGGAGTGTGTTTCCTCTGACTATTTAGCACAGGGACGGGAAGCCAGCATGGGGCTTGTAGTGTGTTTTCCTCTGACTGTCTTCTCAGAGACGAGGAGTCAGCATAGGGCCTGGGGTTATATTGGACATTCACTAGTGATTATTATATATACAAGTTATGATTTGAGACATTAC